TTAGGGTGGGGTGTGAATCAGCTGAGGCACCTCATTGCTTATCCACATGATATATGTGATGAAGGGCCGATGGGGACAGTGCAGCTCCAAAATAGAAACCAGGACTAGAAAAATGAAGGGAAACTTTTTTAAAATGCAGTAAGAACAAATGGATTTTTTCCTGCGCTACTATTCTGCAGAGTTTCCCTGTTAGGGGTCATCTTTAGTGATCGTTTAGGCCCTGGCTTGAGCCGTTAAGTCCTTAGGAACCTGTGCTGCACAGCTTGCAAATTACTTTTATGCGCCTTTCTCTGTGCCATTTCTTTGGGTTGGACTTTTGTTTCAGCTTTCAGTGGTGACAAATGTGTGCAGGATCATTCAGGAGAGCCTGGACTGAGTGCTGCTACTAATAATATTTCTCCCTTCTTTTTCTTTTACTACAGACCAATGAGTGGAATAAGAATGATGATCGGCTGTTGCAGGCAGTGGAGAATGGTGATCCTGAGAAAGTGGCTTCACTGCTGGGTAAAAAGGGAGCCAGTGCCACCAAGCAAGATAGTGAGGGCAAAACTGCGTAAGTCCAACTTAAACTTGTGATTTAAGCACAAGGGAGGGGAAAAAACAGCCTTGAATGCGTACGCCGCTTACACGAATCAAGAACTGTCCTGAAAATGAAGATTTCTTTTTCATCTGAAGCACAATACATTCTGGAAAGCTCCTTTGTGGTAATCTATATTCGTAATTCTACATTTAAAATGGCATTTCAGAATCAGAAACCCATTAAGGTAACTTGAAGCTGGATTGCTGGATAGATTGGGGCAATTTTAGGACAGGGTATTTTGGGACTTGGGAATTTCATGGCACCCTGCAGTTTGCACGCTCCAAAAAGCGTTCATCTTTGAGGCTATTTTTCCCCATGGACTTCAGTTCAATGACACAGAAATTAAGACAAATTTTCTTTCTAATGGGTTAGTTTGAACCAAAATTATGGTGACTGAGTTTTAAAATCTTGCAGATGCTAATGATTTAGACAACTGTTCCTTGTTTTGATTGAAGTTTGGCAATGTAAGTTTTGTGTGAATGCGATTCCTTTTGCAGTCTCCATGTATTTTGTATGTAGCATTTTCTTCTTCTATTCTTCCTGTTGTTCTCCTGTGAACGTTCTGAATCGTGGAAGATAAAACATTGCAGTAAGAAAATTACAGCCAGGAGATTGCTATCCTTAACTTTCTCGTGGCACAGAAAGATGGTTAAATGTATAAATGAGAAATAGGCATCCCCTGACAGAACCAAAGCCTTTGTAAAATTCTGTAAAAGGGGAGAAAGGAAAACAGTTCCTCGTCTTGGGAGAGGCAGCACAAGGCAGTTTATACCAAATAGTAAGTTCTAATGAATTACCTCTGTGTTACATTTATTGGGTCAAGATCTGCTTCTTGCTTGGTCTGTTTCAGTTTCCTGCATCTGCTCTATTTCTGTTCTGCATCTGAGGAAACCGAATGATGGCAGTGACTCATAATGACCTGCGACTTCTTATTGCAGCAGTCCAAGTCCTCTAATTACTTCAAGTGGGCTTTCTCCACACTTTAATATGTTTTTAATTTTAAAAAGTTGCATGCACATGTTTTTCTTTTGAACATAATCAAAACATGACTTCCATTGAATCTTCTGAATTACAGCTATGTTTAGCATCTTCTGTTTTACAGTCATTGTAACTTCTTCAGAGCTAGAAGCTGCATTGTATCCAGAGTAACACCTAGTTTGCACATTTCATATATGATTTGATAATATGAATTTTTCTATGGAACCAACCAAGACTGAAATTATCAATATGTACGTACAAGCCTCTTAACTCTAAGAAACAGGATTGTTTTAACTGTAGGGATCTGGTGCAATGATTTTCAATCTTACAGGGGTATACTACAAAATTCCTTTTTTATCCTCTTTATTTGCAACTACAAAGTAGTCAGTGACCATATATTTATATTAATAATGCTGTTACTAATAATGCAGGTACACATACTTCTTTTAATTGCTTGGAACAAATGAGAATTAATGCTATGAAGATCTCTGCTTCTGCTTGTTCCATATGCTCATTTAGTTGTCATTTACTTTTTTAGTTATTTCTGTGTAGTAGTTTAAAAGAAAGCTTGAGCGAGAACAAAGAAAAATAGTATTGCCGTGGTGCAGAAATACAGCATGTCAGCTCTCATTCTGTTTCCAATGCTTTGGAAAACTTAGCAGACCTGCTCAGGTTATTTCTTAGTTTTGAAAGATAGGGACTGACAGGCATAGAAACAATGACACTGATCTGGAGAGACATAGCTACCAAAGAGTATCATGACCCAGAAATGTTCTCCAGTATGGCTTATTAATGATGGGCAGTGTCTTGTTTGTGTTTTTCACACTTCAGAGTCTTTTATAATGTGTGTGCAAAATGAATTACAACCATCTTTTCTGTATAGGGAGTTTTGTTTCTCCTGTGTTCGCAGTACGATTCCTGCAAAGTGATTCTGGGTGCCTAAAATAGCTGTTTTGCCCTGTCGTAGAAGCTCTGGTTAAAAGCATAGACCCTGCTGCAGCCCAGCACTGAGATCTGTTGGAGTCCAGCAGAAACATGGGTCTAGTTTGCCAGCTGCCTCATCTGTAACATGGGAAACTGTCATGCTGGGAAAGCGCAATCTGGAGAGGTCTTTTGGGGACAGCTGGCCACCATCATGCTCAGATTTCACTGGTTACATTTTTAGAAAGTGGTTTACAGTGCCAATGTGGGAAGGGAGCTCTTTGGTTGAGTGGTCTATTGATCCCTGTGAGTCTATATTGATGCAGTTGTTTACATAATTAGGCTGAAGGTGGCTAACCAGAAGAACGTGATGGATTCAATTATATAACAATGCGCATGATGTGATTAAAGACTTGGGAATGTGCTTGAAAGCAAAAAGAGAAACAATTACATGTTGCAGTACAGGTTTGTTAAGTCTGTAGTTGTTTGTTCCCTTAAGGTGTGACATGTTTCTTTTAAGATCTTTTCTTTTTCGTTCTTTTTGTTAATAACCCTACAAACAAAATTCTCGACGCTGCCCAGATCTTTTTTGAAGTATAGTGGTATAGTACATTATTTTAAACAAAAAGTGGAGAGGGCTCTAATTTTTCATGCTTAAAGGGATTTTTTAAAGTTTTTGTTTTATAAACAAATGGCTTCTTAATATAAAATGCGTAAACTGAGAGGAACAGAGACCAGAACCCAGGATTTTCTTTATTTGTCTTGTTGACTACTCTGTATATCATGCCCCAGAGTCCTCCTGTGATGTGCTCCAGCTCTGGCTCAGTTTTGGACATAACCACCTGAATTTAACCTGTGTCCTCTTTTGCCTCTGTCCTATTATTCCTTTTCTTTGTGGCTTGCCTGCATGCAATAAAATAGAGATGCTTGAATTAATAAGGTCTAAGTACCAGTAAATTTCTAAGAGGTA